AGCACGACCCTGCGCTATGGCTTCCTGATGCTCATGAAGCACCCAGAGGTGGAGGGTAAGGCTGCAGGGACAGGGGAGTGGAGGCCATAGACCCTTCGAACTCCTCTGAGCCAGCTCCACTGACTCCACCTCTCTCAGGTCCTTGGCCAGGGGTGAGGGATATTCAGTGGGTAGGCATCAGCCAAGTAGCCATGAAAATATTGCAAGTGTGTGAACCAGTTAGAAAATTGCTCCTCTGCTAAGCCCACTAAGTGCCCACTGCCCGCTCCCCAGGCACTCCCTGGGACCCCTGACTTGCGGCTCCCATCTGGTACGATCAAGTTAAAAGACCCTGCTGCTACAATGTGTGTGGCCATTGGCTGTTCTGAATAGTCTAAGGGGGTGTCAGACATAGATGCTTGCCATTCACCCAGGTTTACATGTTTGGATTGTCGTGCCTGTTCTCCAGCCACTAGGTACCTAAACACCTTCCTTTTGCCTCAGCCAAACTCCATGAGGAGATTGATCGGGTGATTGGCAGGAACCGGCAGCCCAAGTTTGAGGACCGCGCCAAGATGCCCTACACAGAGGCTGTGATCCACGAGATCCAAAGATTTGGAGACATGATTCCCATGGGCCTGTCTCGAAGGGTCATCAAGGACACCAAATTTCGGGACTTTTTCCTCCCCAAGGTGCTGACCTCTGAGCCACTCCCTGGGACCCTAGCACCCCATCCCCATCAATAGATTTCCAGTCCCTATCCCACACCCTGATTCAAAGAATCATGCAACTGCTGTGTGCCTTGAATCTTGCCATTCAGAGACTCCTGTGTCTCCAGTAGCCCCAGTCTTTCTGTCTCAGGAGAATCAACCCTATGTCTCCCAACTTCGCTGTCTCAAAAGACACAAATCTCATTTCCCTAGACCTCCTTCAGGACTGGAACCTCATGTCCCCCACAATCCTGCCTTGAGGGACACAAGTCCCATATTTCCCCCAATTCCCCCAACCTCCAGCCTTGAGAAAGATGAACCCACATCCCCCAACATCCAGTCCCAGGAGACAAAGACCCTGTGTCCCTTAACTGTACTGCTTCAGAGGGTGAAACCCCAGCTCCCCCATACTTCCTGTCTCACAGGCATTAACTTCATAACCCCCCAAAGCTTCTCTCTCAGAAGAGCCCTGTTCCCACGCCTCCCATTTCTCTTCCGGTGGGGTAGCCTAACTCTCCTTTTGGTGCCTGAGAACTTTCAACACTCTCTTCATCTAACCCATCTTATCCACCCCTCCTCCCCCTTCTTCAGGGAACAGAAGTATTCCCTATGCTGGGCTCTGTGCTGAGAGACACCAAGTTCTTCTCCAACCCTGAAGATTTCAACCCCCAGCACTTCCTGGACGACAAGGGGCAGTTTAAGAAGAGTGACGCATTTGTGCCTTTTTCCATTGGTAAGAGACCACCGCCTGTTGCCAGGCCACGGCTCACACCACCAGGGGAAGCTCATCCCACCTTCCCTCTCTAAGTGTAGCCTAGCATCTTTCTGCAGCTCTAAAGTCCCTCTTGAAATCTACCCTGGAGCCTACCAGCTGCAACTCCCGTAACAACCAAGACCCATATATCTGCACCCAGGAAAAAGGGAAGGGATGACCAAATCTCATTTAGACATGGGGATGATGAAGGATCAGAGCGAGTCAGAAATCCTTTTAAGGACACACAACAACATCTTCATATTCTTAGAGGATGACAGCAGACAGCCATATTTGAGAATGTATTTGGGGGGAAGCGGCACTTAAACTTCCCAGTGCTACAGGCTGGCATGGATCACCCCACCTCATGTGCCAGGGAAATGGAGGCTCAGAGAGGATTAGAGCCCTTCCTGAAGGTCTCTCAGGTCACAGTGCTGCAGCCCCTACTCCCTGGGAGAATGCCACAGGGATCTGGGACTTGGTGAGCCTGCAGAGAGCTGGCTTCACCTTGGCCCCTCCTTCCTCTCCTATTCAGGAAAGCGGTACTGTTTTGGAGAAGGCCTGGCTAGAATGGAGCTCTTTCTCTTCCTCACCACCATCTTGCAGAACTTCTGCTTCAAGTCCCCACAGGCGCCCCAGGACATAGATGTGTCTCCTAAACACGTGGGTTTTGCCACCATCCCGAGGACCTACACCATGAGCTTCCTGGCCCGCTGAGCTGGGGCCCAGCCAATGGGGGAGGCGGGGTTAAGGGGAAGGGAGAGTGGAAGTAAGAGGCAAATTGGATAGAAGAGGGAGAAGAGTCAGAACAGACCAGCAGACTGCCTTTGCCAGACATTGGGCCCTGAGATCAGGGAAACCTCACATTATGCTGTGATGGTAGTAGCAGTCGTAATAGTAACAGTAATAGTAATAATAATAATAATAACAGCTATTATTTGGAGCAAGCATTCTTTGTCAGCTCTGTGCTAAATGCATCTAACGATCTCCCAACTTAATACTCAAAAGCCCATGTGAAAGGGAACAGTGTTCCTGCCCATTTTTAAGGTGACACGGCTGAGGCTTAGTAAGTTTAAGTCACTATGTGAACACAGAACACAGAACAGAAGTGCCTAGCAAATGCTTGAATATCTGTGCCCAGTCTTTGGAGGAGATTTTAAAATATTATCACTTCCCTGAATAAAACAACATATTTATCTACACTCCTGCCTAATTATG